TTTTTTTGGGTTACCCTGTATGAACACTTACGCATGCGCTTTCAGTACTATTTTGTTTACTTGTCACATTTTAAGGTTAGAATTAGTCATTGCTGTGAATTTATTAATTAATTGCCCATTTATAATCTAAAATTACTGATGGCTGTTAATCAAGATAACAGACCTGAATTATACGAAGAAGTGAAATTATATCAGAATGCAAGAGAAAGAGAAAAGTTTGATAACCTTGCGGATTTGTATGCAGTAATAAATACTTTGCAACAATTGGAAAAAGCTTACATTCGCGATTGTGTAGTGCCTAAAGAATACACGGGTGCTTGTAGCAAGCTACTAGTACAGTACAAAGCGGCATTTCGTCAAGTTGAAAGCGACTCTTTCCCTACGGTCGACGCATTTGTACGTAAATATCGTTTAGATTGCCCCGCTGCATTGGAACGTATCAAAGAAGGTCATCCCATTACCATTAGAGATGATAAAGGAAACACTAGCAAGTGCATTGCCGACATCGTTTCCCTATTTATTACACTAATGGATAAATTGAGATTGGGCATTACAGCTATGGACGAACTTCATCCGGAATTAAAAGATTTGGTCGACACAATGCAACGCTTTAGTATCATTCCATCTGCCTTTGAAGGAAAGCAAAAGATGATCGAGTGGTTAAACACATTGGATTCGATGAAGGTGTCTGATGAATTATCGGAAACTCAGGTTCGCCAGCTCCTATTTGATTTAGAAAGTTCATATGCTGCTTTTAATAAGTTATTGCACAATTCGTAACTTTTGTGATAGAATTTGCTTTATGTATATAATGTTTAATATTTGCAACAGGATGTAGGCTGGTCTCTGATTTTATTAATTAAATATTTTTTATCCTTTCATAAATAATAATAATACATAAATAGGTAATTAATCCGTTGTCATGTTTTCTTTATGCAATAAACAGTAAATCTCACTCAAATGATTTTTACAACAATTACCTACTAGTGACAACAACAGACTAGACCCAAACTGCTCATCTTGCACACACTACTACACTAAAGTATACTGTGTGATCAAAAATGAGTTGCTATCGAGTCACCTTTGGAACTTTTGTTTACATGGGAAATCGTATTTAAGTTGAACTTCCAAAGGTGACTTGACAGCAACTCATTTGTGATCGCTCGTTACCCACCTCAAAAGAAAAACTGCAAACATAGTATAGTCCTTTTTCCTAAGCAAATTATTGTTCACTAATTAGAATTCTATACTAAATATTTTTTATAATAGAAATTGATCATAAAGCACCAAAAATCATCGGTTACTGACACTCAAAAACATGTTGATACCAAGTACCTACACCCAATTATTAATTAATAATACTTAATCAATAAATATACCCTCACATATTCCTATATAGTATGCCATGATCGAAACTGTTAAATAAGTATATCTCATAGGTAATAAAATAATCAATATGAATGTCCATTTTTTTCAGTACACTGATTCTTGATTTTCTGTGGGCACCATCTTTTAGATAAAAGTTCCTATTGGGTGTACTATGACCTTTGCTATGAGGAAGTGGGACACACTGTATGTAAAAATCACAAGTCTTTTGCAAGGCACTTTCTTAAAAATTAAGAAAGAAGTATTTTAGTTCAACTAAAACATCAGTAAAGAACAGCCTGTACCTATACATATATCATTTTTATGATATAAAATCTATCTATAGAAAAAATCCCAAATACTTACAATTTGGCATGTCAAAAGAAAAAAATAAGTGATATGTGGTCCGCTGTCAAAATGAAAACTACATCAATAATGCTTTCAGTGTAAAATTTGGCATCTTTGATTCCATTTAATCAACCTCCCATATGATATCTATTATGGAATAACTAAATTCAAAAACCTTTTACTCGTATATCTTACTTTATTAATTAATGACATAATTAATATTAGTACATACAATCCTGAATTAAAGACGCTATTTCACTTCTATACAAATTACTATCTTCTCCATGAGTTATTTTAATTATCTTACACGCATTGTGTAAATACTGTTTCCCATCTTGAATATTTTCCTGATAGATCAAAATCTTGGCTAACTTCAAATACAAAATACCTAGCAACGGATGAGTGTCACCCAAATATTTTCTGAAAAACAGCAAAGTAAAAATGGTGCATTAAAAAAAGTTGATCCGTACCTGTAACCAGCAATTAAAGATATGCCAAATATTTTTGCGTCATCCCATTGTCCAAAATCAATACTACTTTCGAAGGCTGAATCTAAAATTCTTACATGCTGTATGTTTAAATTGTGCAGAACCCCTTTGTGCCTGTTTAAGCAGACTTTACAGACGTCTAGATCTACATTTGCTGTAAAGGAAGCAATAGGTTCATATTCACAGAACTGACGGGAAATTAGAAAATATTGATATATTGATTATGCTTCTTTTTTTTGGTAGGCAAAAAATAACAAAAATAAGAACAACTTTTTTTGGGAACTTTAGGGTAATGCCGCATACTGAATTTTTTTCTGGGTCAAAGGATACATGCTAATTTCATATTCTGCAAATGGACATCTGTAAATTCAGTTACATCCTTATAGAGCTGCTTAAACTGTGGAGAAATGGGGGAGTCACACTGGTCACAGTTTGAAACTTGGTCATAGTCCCTTATTTCTACTAAGGAATCGCAGTGTGGATTAGAACAAGCTGCCGCAGACATATGAATAGGTTCCAAAGGATCTAAACATTTGGGACATTGACACATGAAGTAGTATGTTGCCATCAATTCCTTCTGGCGTGCCTCAGGTTTATATAATGTATCAATGTAGCTGACAAAAACCTAAAACGCACATTAAAAAGAACTTTTTTGTAATGCCACTTACCCACTTTGTCCCAGTTTAAACAAGGCATTGTTTCAGTAGCACGAATATTTAAACGAGTTCCTTGAAATGTTGCCACAGCAGTGGGTTGGCATGAATGATCTATAATGGATGCCGCCAAATAAATCCCGGTGCCTAAACTTTTTAACTCTTCGTCGCATATGTTAAAACTATTAACGCACATCTAGAAGACACATTTTGAAAAACCAGTAACGCATGACTAAATTACACTTACTCTTCCATACATACCCATTAGTTCAATTGGATTAGGAATGAAATCTGTACCCAGAAAGTCGTTTAAAACTCCACACAAGGATTGAAAATGTTCTATTCGATTAATATCATCCTTTATATTTGTATAATCTATGCAACAATAACGGTGTATTTGCAACTATAGTTAGACAACTTACGCGACATTAAATCTTTAAATTTTCTATATTTGGTTTTAGTGTAATACGATTTAATTTCGGAACCTCCTTTGGCTAATTTTTTTAATATACGTGATAATAACCTGGCTGCATCTGGAATTATTCTAGGCGATATTCTCTTTAAATTATTGCACTCGTGCTTATGAATCGACCATCCGTCTTTCTGACAAGACCTTCCACAATAATACACATAGTGGCAACTGGCACACTTTCGCAGTTCACTCCTACAAATAAATTATAAGTTTTATAGGTATATGATCTTTTATTTACCTACTTTGCAAAACAAAAATCGCAATATTCCGTCCTGTATTTAGATGTAAGAACATAAACAAAGGGCTGTTCAGTCAGTAGTAAGGTCCCCGGTTTCACCTCCTCGCCGAGACCCATTCTGCTAAGATAGTGCTGAAACACTGAAAATAGGTATAGGTTAATTAATTTAGGGTACATGTTTATTTTTAAAAGGAGAATAAATAGAATCAAATCTTTAACAACCTGGAAGTATTATTAACTCGTCAGAGTTTTAATTAGCATTTATTTTTACAGGTTCAATCCTGAAATATATTGATACGAAATTCCTGAATTTTTGAATTAATTTGTGGTTATTTTTTACACAATCCCCCAAACAAGTGTTTATATTTCAGTGGCGTACTTATCCACGAATCGGAAATTCTAGTGGGAGTATCTAGCACTGGCTATACATATTTAACAATAAAAAAAATTAAAAAAGATAAAAAATGTCTAGCTCTAGGTGCAAACAAACAACAATTACTTTAAATAAAATAATCTTTTTCAGGAAAAAATAGCCTACTATGACGCTAAAGCTGAAATAATACCTAAATTGGAATAGGTATTGTTCTCCTTGGATAACTTCCTACGAATGCGAATAAACATGATTAAAATGACTTACAATAGTAGTACCATATTTATTGAAAATCTCCTCGAGTTTCATGAACTTATAGCATTGAATTGATAGTTATAAATTCAATGCTTATAGTACCAAAAGTATCCCTAATGCAAATTTTCCGCGGTTGCGAATTATCCGGAAGCGAAATGTCCAGGATGCGAAATATCATGGAAGCAATAAAATGTCCCGGTGCGAATTGTCCGACTGCAAATTATTTTATTGGTGCTAATTCTCCAGGTGGGATTGGTGGGAATTGTCTACATCACGTCCCTGGGCTTCATTGGTTGTGTGTTTCGAACATTTTTAAATAAAATAATATTGGTATATTTAATTTCATTAGCTCAATTACTTGAAAATCCGCCCTAAAACATTTGTCTATAAAGTCCAAAGAAAACTAGCTAGATAAATGCGTTGCGGGCTCGTAATATTCGTCATAGAAAGGTTCACTTCCGGAAAGTTCGTCTCCTGGAGATTATCTTCCTCCAGAATACTTTCACTTGCTTTAAAGAAAATTATTATTCAAAACCTCTCTCTTGAAATAATTGCTATATTATATATTATACCTGTTATATCTATTACATTCCAGAATTTCATATTATTGACAAAATATTCGTCTCGGTAGATTCGTTCCCTTCGAAATTTTCACGCCCAAACGAAATCCTTGAAGAATTCACGCGTAAAAAAGCATACTCCAAAGGAATGCCTCCAAAATTTCGCCTTAAAAAAAGATTGTACATAAGCTGACTGCATCTTAATCTAAATCTAATGTTAACTTTAGTTTTATCGGCGAAAACGTGTTATATTAAATAATGAAGTGAAGGAAAGTACCAAAGGAAACTCACCCCAAATCAGGTATAAACTAAAATGTTAACTTTTCGGATTGCTTTAACGAACGCCCAAGATTTAATAAATTAGTATTAGTTACGCCACTGATATCAGCTGGTGTTATCTGACAGGAATATTGATGTAGCTGTCAAATGTCAAATAATGTATAAATAAAATAGTTTAAAAACGAAAATGGTTTATTAGGATGTAATTTAAAAATGGATATTTTGAATTTGTTAAATGAAATTAATGGAGATTTTGGAAACGTCCTAAAATCTTTTTGGATTGGAAGTACTTATACCAACTACTTTGAAGTGATTTTGGAATTACTAGTGTTCAAGGTGATTCAGTCAACTATTGTATTGTGTATTAATAATTCGTGTTTATTGTTTATTTAATACGCATTTTATCTTATTATACAATAATAACGCAATTTTATTAGTCATTAATTAAAATAAGTTATAATTCCATTTTATTTCACACTTCAGAATGTTTTTAATCTGTTGAAACTAAAAACAATTATTCATTAGGCATGTTACTCTTCCAGTTTAATTACGCGTTAGCCCTACTTATCTTTGCCATTCTTGGATGTTCTTGTTGGTATAGTTTCCGCAGATGGCAAATACGAGGTATGTAAATTACAAACTATCCATAATTTCTAAATAACTTGCAAGCAGGTATATCTCTAAAGCAATCTACACCTTTTGGGGGATCACGTTTTCGAAAACGAGACAAAGCACTGTTTTATGGAAGGAAAATGTTAAGGAAAGTCAAATCGTTATCGGGTCAAGTTCGCAGTTCCGGTCAGGGCCGAAAACGAAAACTGGTAATGAGATTTGCCCGAAAGTTGTTGCGTCTACGTAAAGAAAATGAATTGGAGCAATTAAAGGTGGTCGAACTGCCAGTTGGAAACTTACTATATCGTTTATCTTACAGGTTTTAGAGCCGCCCGCCGAGTATTTGGAGGAAGACTTGTTTAGTGATGATCGTATGCCGAGGGATGTGTACTACTTGCTAAAAAGCATGCGAGTTTTTGGCTACTTTGAAACTCCAGTTTTTCTAAAAATATGCAAACAAACGGAAATAATGAACGTGCCCGCAGGTTCATTTCTTTTTAAAATCGGCGAACCAGATGAAAATGTTTTTATTGTTCAGAGTGGTAAAGTTAACGTGTTTATTACGGCTGTGGATGGATCAATTTTATCGTTAAAGATGGTTAAAACTGGCGAATCTGTTACGTCCCTACTGAGTTTTACAGATGTCCTTACGGTATGGTTGTCTTAAGGTTTGCAATGTGTATTAAAATTGTTGGTAGGGTCATCCAAATCCGTACAGAACAGTGTCCGCAAAGGCCATGGAGGATTCTACAATTGTAAAACTTCCTATGGCTGCTTTTCATGAAATTTTTCACGAATGCCCTGATACCTTTATTAGAGTCATACAGGTTATTATGGTACGACTTCAACGAGTTACTTTTACAGCGCTTCATCAGTATCTGGGTCTTAGCACAGAACTTATTAATCAGGTATTCCTTTTTTACAATTTTTAAACGTATCAATTGGAGATATGCCATAAAGTCGAACAAAGATTACCAAGTAGGTTAATAGAGGCATGAACCCCAAGATAAAACCTATTTTACTCACTAGCAAGTGCTTAACAATAAAAGTAGCATATCCAATTAAAAAAGTAATTGCAATTTATAATTTAGTCCTGTGTTTTAATTTGCTGATAATTATGTCTAGTGAAACCATTATCATGGACCTATGTGGTCATATTTTTTCCTTTATTAGTGCTATGTGATAAAACATTTTCAAGATAAGAAATCATAATCATTAGGAAGTGCGAACTTCTTGCCATTTCCATAAAGTAGCAATCAATAGGTACCTACATATTTATGTAGCACGCATTAGTAAAGCCAAATAACACATGCTCTAAAAAATTCTTTCTTTTATAGTTATTTGCATTTTATTTTAATTACTTATGGTTCTTAAAGTTAGTTGTTTTGTTTTTCAATTTTTTACTCTTCAATGTAGGTGTATCATTGAATAAAATAATTCAGTTTATTCAATCCCTTACCCAACAAGTTCGAAAATAAGAGCATAAACGATCAACAGTACAAAAACAGAAATAAAGAAAATGGAAAAGCCTGATAGGTATTCTCGCACAATTAGGGAGTTGTGCGCGAGTTAACTGTTCAAATAAGATAAAAAAAAAATAAAAACAAAATCGACTAATTTCGGTTTTTCTGACATATCTTCAGAAGTAGTTGGAATTTTCTGGTTTTCTTTAAAGCATTATAATAAATGTATTAATTGCGCAATTTTTTCCTAATATGACCACTATCATAATATCTCGTAATATCTTCTATGGTTTCGGAGATCCCCATGATAGATATCCTTATCTTGGACATGGAATTAACTTCCGTGGGTCGACCTTTTCAGGAATGTTAAATTGACTTTAAGCATAAATTCCAAGAAAGATCGACTCCTGTTTTTATACAATCCAAAATTTCAACTTACATTTATCAATGAGTCAACATTTTCTCAAAATGACTCTTGAGTTTCTCCCTTTGAAAGGTAGCAGCAAGATGGTTGACGATTTGAATCAGGCACAAACCGGGCTTCAGGTTCCTCGAAATTTAGTAGTTGACTCACTCACTGGACTAATTTACCAATATTCTGCAGTATTGAAATGTCAATTTTCTCTTTGAATACAGGTGGTTTTAACAGCTAACAAAAGCGCTAATTAATCGTTTTTAAACTATTTACCGGTTGCCGTTTAAATTAGAATCTTATTATCGCTTCATATAAACAAGAGAGGTGGACAAATTTGGTTAGTAACCTTGTTTTGTATGTTAACTAACCATCCCAAATATAAACGCAATGAACGTTTTGTACTTTGGGCCACAACGCTTTCGTGGTAAAATGTATTTAAGCGCGACCACGTTGTTCAAATGAAAGGAAAATGTTCGCTCACAGAAATAACCACTTTATATTAGTGTTGAGATGACAATAATTTTGACGAATTGGCGGCACAGTTTTCCCTTGTAATTAGGCAATTAACATCAACTTTCACAGTAAAAATCTCACGTACGATTACGCGGCTGTTAAATTTTCCGTATCCCTCGATTATGTGAACTCGTCTTGAAACTTTTAGGTGAAAATAATTGTTACGCCCTCAACTTATATAGATTCGATTTGAAGGTTCAACGAAAAATTCTTCTCTCCCACCCAATTTTTCTTAATATTGTCGCCAAAACCAAAAACCGAAACCAATATCTTCAAGTACCATGAAGGACACCCCTCCTACCCCCATCCCATCCTCAATATAGGGTAGGTGAAAAAAGCGGTAGTTGGTAGAAACAATTGAACAACATTGAATAATCCCTCTCATAACATTCCTTCTAGGTATGTGCTAAGAGTGCATGTGATCAGATTGAATTAATTTAGATGTAGAATGGAGCATTTTCTTGTCTAGTCTTTGTCATCCTAATTTTAGATTTATTATTTTCAATCTTCAGAGGTGCGCTATTTTGAGTTGGAATTTTGGAAAATGTTTACGAAATCAAAAAAGTTAAATACTTAATATGTTACACCTTTAGCTCTAAGGTACTGTTAATGCTGCGATAAATAAATTTATGTCCAAATAGGGCCCAAGAACTAGTAAGCATAGGCATCCATTAATGAGTTCACCTCAACGTAGCAAAACAAAGGACACGCCACCGATAAAACGTGAAGACATTGAGGGATTTTATTGGGAACCCACGGATAATATGCAGCCAAGTTCTAAGCCAGTTACTGTACCAACTTATCGTCGTAGTAAATCCTGTTTAGAAACCAAACACTCTCCCAATTATAATACGCCAGATATGGTACCCGATTTAGATCAGCCGTATAGTAACGTGGTATGGTGAATTATTGAGTTATATAAAACTTCAACCATTACCTCTTGTTTTAGACTCCCGATTTGCAACAGGCATTAACTAGAACCAAGCGATTATCTGTTATTGAAAATATCGATATACCATCAATTATTCAGAGTGCCACCGAAGTGTTTGTGCACGAACTGGGACTCGAGGATGATTTATGGCTTAAGGGAAATGTTGAGTATCGAGAGGTTGTAGCAGGTACTTACTTAATGAAGGAGGATTCAAATAAGGTACTTTGTTTCTTTTGGGAAGTTTTTTCAAATTCACTTCTGTTACAGGATGCTGCATTAGTGTACATTATTTCTGGGTCATTAACGCTAGCACAACGAATGACAGACACTGATGAGGATGTGCACATGTTCACGGCACATCCCGGTGAAATTGTCGGTGGACTGGCAGTTTTAACTGGAGAGACAAATTTTTTTAACATTCGTGCCAAACATTTTACTCGTCTTGCCATCATTTCAAAAGCCACCTTTTATAAGTAGAAATGAAAACCTGCATTTCAGCATGTACCCACACTGTCATTTGTAGCTTAATGAAAGAGAAACCGGGTATCATCCTTTTTATTGCTGACATGGTAGTGAAACGACTCTCACCCTTTGTAAGGCAAGTGGATTTTGCTCTAGACTGGGTTTTTCTCGAATCGGGAAAAGCTGTTTACAGACAAGACGACGAAAGTGATTCCACGTTTATTGTATTATCCGGCCGTTTGCGTTCTGTTATCACGCATAAAAATGGAAAGAAGGAATTAGTTGGCGAGTATGGTAAAGGAGACTTAATTGGAATTGTAAGTTGAAAAGAGACTGAATTTTTGTTGTCTCACAATGGGCCACTTTCACATTTTTTATTTATGTGATAAATCAATGCGGAACATAAAGAAATACCAGTATGCAAAATTTCACAATCCTAAACACACAAACTTTTAAATTATCTAAAGATAAGTTTTTCGCGCGCTTGGAAATCATTTTAAACGCTAGATTTTGCCGGCACATGGTTGTGACGTCACAACTGTGTAAAAGTTCAGTGGCGGTATACTTGCATGTATACTTCAATGCGACGACGTAGCGTATGCGTTTGTTGTTGCTTACGTTTTCTCCTGTGTACCGTGAAATATATCGATATCTTTCTGACGGCACGTCTTGAGGCGGCTCTTCCCGTACGCACTTCGCTTCGAGCTTTGCATGACAGCAATACTCGCGAGCATTGCACGAGTACAATTTTTACTCTTCACGTGCAGTCCTTGTTCGAAGTACGCCAAGTGTAGTTACGTTACGCAGATTAATGAGGGTAATACGAGGGTAATAAGTAAGAAACAAGCAGCAGCAATAGGTAGTTCTTTTAGATCATAATGAAAAAAGTAAAATAAGAAGAAAAAAGGTATCGAGTAGAGTAAAGGAGTGGTAGGTATAAAAAACGAGGTGCTGCCAATCATATTTATCTATTAATAGAAATCAATGTAAATCACTCTGAAGATTACCAAATTTACTTCCGGATGCATATGCTGACATTAAATATACTTATACTTAATTGTTGAAATTAAATTCGTTAAAATGCCTACAATACATTTTTCTGAAAGTGGCATTGAAAGTTTTACTGTCTCATTCCATCCAATATAATGAATATATTGTCTTATTTCGAACCTTGTATTCATGCTCGTAATCAAACTACACATTGCAACTTTAGCGCGCATAGCTTCGCGCCGCGCCAAGTTTTCCGACAGATTTGAAAACGTCAACACGACCCAAGTTGCAACAAAGTGCTGCTCGTCTGGTCCCTTCACGTTCGAGCTTTGCATGAATTCATGTTGGGCAATGTTCGTACAGGCAAAGCTCGAAGCGAAGTCCGTACGTGAAGGGCTGCCTGAAGAGATTAAATGTGGAAAATTTTTAGTCCACCTAAAAATACACTATTCGTACTAATTTTTTTGAACTTTCTCTATCATGTCTCCACCCACACACACACATGCACCCTTTATCGTTTTTTGCGCACAAGACACAAAACAAACCTGGCCGGGCGGACCTCTACAAACCTGGATCTATGAACACAAGAATGTAAACAAATATGGCGACCACAGTTGTGACGTCGCACCAATGGCAGGGCGTTTGCAGCTGACGTCATATTTAAAGGGATTCACAGTAATTGTTTTTACTATTTGTTTAAAAACAAATGATCTTTTTCAAAAATTAGTATTCGCCTCATGTATGGCGTATATAGTACTTGCCACCTGTGCAAATTTTTTGCTAATAACGAAACCATGCAAGTAGCCCATTGGCGATAGGTGGAGATGGTTACCCAAACTAAAAGGAGTACAACAGTGATGGCGGTTAGAGATTCAGAACTGGCCAAATTGCCCGAGGGAATTTTTAATGCAATTAAATTACGTTATCCTATTGTAGTAACAAGACTTATAAATTTGCTAGGTCATCGTATTTTAGGTATGTTAGTTTGGTGCAGTAAGTAGTCATGTTAACTCACTATTATTGTAGGTAGTTGGAAAAAACCAAATTTAAATTTACGTACACCAAGTTCTCCAAGTTATTCTGCGTTAGATACTAGACCATCTCAAATAAATTTTTCAACAGTAGCCATTATGGCGGTGTCTGAAGATGTCCCATTAACGTCTTTTACTTTCGAATTGTACCATTGTTTAAGTGCCATAGGTATGAATAATATTTTAGTAGAAGTATTGGTCCACATCCTCTTATCTCGAACGCACTGTATATACCAAAACTGACTCGTTCGCCATATTGGAGCCCACTAACAATTCACGTTTGCAAGTCCTGTACTTATGTACTCTGTTATTATTTAAAAAAAAACATTGATTTTTTCAACGTATATGAATGTATAAACATTGACTTTATTATGTATTCTTTTTTATTAAATCAATTTTGCTTACAGATTTGGATTCTCAGTGGGCTCCAAAATGGCGGATGAGTCTGCTATCATAATCAAGTACCGTTATCGCCCATAGCACACAACAAAAGAAACGTAGTAATAAATGAAATTCTCTTGGTGTGTGCTGTTAGAAATTTGCAAATGCGTAGTCGAAGCCCAACTTTGGAATGGCACTGGAAAAAACCGGTTGCGCCCCTAGCGACAAAGCCGTATATTATAGTTCATTAGCCCCTTGGCTTTGGGAAGTGCGAAATTTTGTACAAATTATTTTTTGCTGACTATTTGCAATCCCTGCGATCATCGCGCCCTCTTTGCTCAGAATCGGCATCAAATTCTGCACAATATCCGCATTTTTCAAAATGTATATCTTCATATACCATGTTCGAATTTTGACTCCCAGATTCCCTACTACTAAAAATACAATTTACAAAAATATTTAATATTTAGGGCCTACTTTAAGACTGACCTCGGATGTGATTCGCAAAACCTTAGGGAGTAGTATAATGGACCCAAACAACGAATATCGTTTAACGACGTGGCTGGCTCAGCAAGAAGATCAACATAAAATTGCATTGTATCAATGCGACTTGACCTTTAGTTTGTGGACGCAACGTTGCATCCGGCAGGCCGATTGTATACTAATTGTGGGACTGGGATTTAAACCGCCCACCCTAGGACAGGCACGTATTGGTCCTGATCTTCGTTTTGTACTAACGGCGTTTGCGTAGGTGGAGAAAGAAGTACAAAGACTAGCTATTAGGACGCAAAAGGAATTGGTCTTGCTTCACCGAGAAGATGGGCCGCGACCAAGTAATACGGTCGCCTGGTTAAATATGAGATCGTGGATTTCGTGGCATCACCATATAAAATGTTTCAAACGTACATTCTCGAGAAAGAGTTTATATCGCATTGTGAGTCTTAGACAGAGCGAGAGAAATGTTAAGATTGAAGATAATCATTTTACAGTATGAACTTTACGGGAAAGTTTGTCGATCTGAACCAAATATACATTCAGATTTTTCAAGGTTGGCTAGATGGTTAACGGGGAAATCAGTTGGTTTGGTACTCGGCGGTGGTGGGGCTCGAGGTGCCGCGCACATTGGAATGATTAAAGCTATACAAGAGGCGGGTATACCAATTGATATGGTGGGTGGTGTTAGTATTGGAGCTTTCATGGGTGCGCTATGGTGTCAAGAAAAGAATATCACCACCGTTACACAGAAAGCGAGGGAGTGGGCGCAGGTATCCGTTAAACAATGTAGGCATTTACATGATAGACTTATTGTAGAAAATGAACCAATGGTGGCGTCAAATATTAGACCTGACTTATCCCGCGACATCTATGTTTAGTGGACGTGGCTTTAACAAAACGATTCATGCCGCATTCAACGATACATTTATTGAAGATTTGTGGTTACCCTATTTTACTATCACTACCGATATCACGGCCTCTTCTATGAGAATTCACAGCCACGGTGAGTATTTGCTTTGCATATCACAACCAAATCGATGTAGCACTATACGGGATTGTATTTTCATAATTAATGTCACAGCATATGTTTAGATGTTATAATTGTTGTTTACACATAATAGATGTTCAAATTGTGATTGGTTATCTTTTTTTGTTTGCATGCTATTCTTAGTAGTTCTTAATTTACATTTTAATGTATCATTTTTCACATTTTAACACAAATTGTGTAGTGTGTAAACATCAGACAACACGAATTTGCTTTACATTACTTGAGGTTACATATGCTTATGTGACACTACCAAATCAATTTCCCAACCATATCTCATTTGACGTCACTTGACTTATACTCGAATAACACTGGACCGAAGAAGCCATACTTTTTACTATGGACAAATCTCAATGATTTTAAAGGTTATTTTAAAGAATTTCAAAATTTGTAGCTAGTGTTGATATAGTGGCTTTTGTAGATACACTAGTACAGTAACTAGAAAATATATCAATTTAGTTTTCAATAATACAAAGTCTTGTAGAACTCTATTATTTTCGCAGGTAAGTACTAAGTATTACTTTTCCCTTGTGTAAAGGTATGCCCTGTTTTTATAGTTGATCAATATCTAATTTTTCCTGTATTAGTTAAATATAACAAACTCTTATTCTTTCATTTCTTTTTTCAACTCTGTAATTTTAACTCGTATGTAAAATTGTTGAATATGATATTAATTCCATGTCTTTCTTAAGTGTAAAAGTCCATATTGCTATATTTCTCAGCTGGCTATTTCTTGTTTCCTTTGAAATAGAAGCAAAACTACAGTCAGTGAGTCTCGTATTACTATTCTGTGACACAAATAATTGATACCACTGTTTAAAAAATCTGACCTTCAAACCTAGGAAGGTTCTCTTTGCTCGAAGTCACTTTGTAACTGAATTAAAATTATTTCAAAATTTCAATGATTCGTTCATAACCTTCTTTTATAAATTTAACCATTTCTAGAGACTTATTTTGGAAAATTTAAATTTCTAGCTTTTATTAAATTGAGGCTCACTTTTATTGTTATTAAATTGAAAGAAATACTAAATAGAAAAATTAATGCAAACCTTTATATACATATTGCAGACGTGAAAACAAACTGAACTTAAAACTGTAAAACTTTTTACTTTTCAGACACAAATTCTCACCTTCTATCTTGTCAATTTTATTCAATCTGAAAAAGATAAACGAAACAAAAAATCGCAAGTTATCTAAATCCGCCAGATATATCTTATCAACTTGAAATAAATCCAAATACATTTGATCAATAAATACTATTAAAACAATAATAATTCCCACGCGGAGTATGAAACAAAAACAGTGAACGTTCATATTTTTTAAAACAACAAATGACTGTATTCCTTTAACCTATTGTTTTATTTTGTATCTTTTATATGACATGTCGATTCAATTATCGTTCATTTTCATAATTTTGTTTAGTTCATTTCTATTTTTGATTCAAGTTCTTCGTTATCCTAAATGTTCTCTTTAATTTACATTTAAATGTTTGTCAAATTCATTTTAACATTAGGTCTTCCATTTCCTTCTACCAGTTTCGCAATTAATCTTAATTGTTTCTTCAACATTCAATTCTCTCCGTTCTTGCTTCATTACTTAATTCTCTATTTCACTTTGTATCATGTGCAATTTTAACTTTTATAATGAATTAATTGCCTTGTCACTACTCACTAATATATTCTTTTCCGTGTTGTCCATTTTCTTCTTTTCTTGCAAGTAATTTTCTTCATCAATATCAACTACACACCCACTCCCATGCATCTTGTTATGGAAATTGATAAATTAAAAAGTTTCATGAAGAGTTAGTTACGAAAATAAATAAGTATAAATTGTGGACAATTCTTGTGCAAATAAATGGCATTTTTTTAAATCGAAATAGCTTATTAAATGGTTGCGTTATAAAGTAGTAGCATGCTATACTCTCGGCTATACTATTTATCAATGGTTTCTTTCTTGTTAGATGATTATTGGGGAGACTTGTCCAGACAATTAATTTTGCTTTTGTGGGTATACTTTCCTCTGACAAAGCGTTTTCGAGATATTCGCTCATAAGGTCGCCAATAGCTATATTTCAATCAGACGTCCCAATCGCCCTTTGTGAGTACCATCCTCTGACAATCTGTACTTGAGATATAAGGAATTATTTATATCCGATCACAATAACGAGTCGAGGAGAAGGCTATGATTCGTAGAAGTTAATTCCTTTCGTTGTAACCTTTCATTAGAGTACCATGAAGTATAAAACCAGTTGCACCTCTCTGTGCCTCATACAAAGGCAGTTATAGCACGCTTCTAATAATTTTACACTTTTGCCTTTCATTATGCTTATTTGACAGTTGCGCAATATGCGCATGCGCACATCTGATGCTTACAATATGCGATATGCTTATCTTTACTAGAGACATCTATGGTTAAAATTTCTAGAATATATCTATAAATAGGAAAGTTACTGCAACATATCAAAATGTAAACATTTTTTTTACAACTTTGTCGATTTCTGGCAACATTTAATCCTTAGCCTGGGGTTTTGGCAATAATTTTACGTGAAGTTAAAAAGTATAACTCAAACAAATTTCAGAAGTGCATGTAACGCTATTATTTTGCTTAAAAGTTAACCTTAGACGACATGCTTGCTCTTCCCTCCCCGAAAATGTTCAGTACACTTTGCCATTTATTACTTTTGTAACCAGCTCTTTATAGACTTATTATGGTGTAGCAAATAATAATATAAAAAAGACGTTGATACCATCAAGTTTAAATAATTATGGTTATCTAATTTTTTTAATATTCCAATTATTTGCCTCTAGCTCACCACCGAAATAGAATAACAAAATCTTGTTTTGTTTTTCTAATTATGTACTTTTTTAGGCAATCGATTGTAGTTTATTCTCAATGCATGTATCGTAGTGCTTATCAGATAACCATCTTTTTAATCTTGTAATAGTAGTAATCTGTAGAAACTAATAATGGCCCTGACCACCGTAAAGTAGATATGAATATATTTTGCATTTTACAATATTTTATCTGTAAAATTTTGAAGAATGCAAAGGGACTTTGTTTTCATGATGATTGGTTATGGATATGCTGTGTTATTGTAGCTAGAAATCGTTGATGGATTACAAGTTTTAATAATTTATTTGTCGGTGGTGGATATGTTACTGTAATATCCATCATTTTTAGATGTCCAGTTTGCTGTTCCGGGTATGTATCGTAGATGTGAGTTCACAAGCACACTTTTTTGTATCACGTTTTTGTTTGTTCACTTGCAGGGTGTTCTCTATTCAATACAATTTTAAATATTTGTAGATATTACCATTGACATTCAAGGTAAGTTTTTTGTCTTCTATTGTGTGTGTATCCTTTTAAGTAAATACTTGGGAACAGTATGAAAATACAATCTTGACAAAGCTAGTAATTAGTCATAAAAAGTTGATTTTGAATTTGGATTACCCTGTGTAAACTCTTAGATGGCTATGGGCTTAGTTGAACTCTTGTCATAGGCTCTTTATGGCGCTACGTGAGGGCATCCATGTCGCTATCAGGTTATATGCCACCACTCTGTGACCCAACTGATGGACATCTGTTACTCGATGGAGGTTACACCAATAATTTACCAGGTAATTGCATTTTACTAAAATTAACTAAAGAGACTGCATCAACATCTAAAGGTATGTTTTTGTGTGTTTGTCTACTAATATAAAGGATTTGGGATGCTTCATTCTTCTGATAAAAAGGTAACCAATCACAATATGAGTCAATTTTTGTCATTTTTAAAAACAAAAGTGCTTTAATCAGAATTGAGTTGTTCAGCATAGTTAACAATATTGAATATTTAGCACAAATTGTATGACAGGTCATTTATGGAGGTATGTGCGGGGTAGTATGACTGTTATGGGAATATTTCCCCCCATGTGTGATCCAGTGGATGGACACATGCTTTTGGATGGATGTTATGTCAATAACGTTCCAGGTAAATAATACATAAGTATTCGCCAAATTTTATTATCATATGCTGCAAAGGTATGTTTTGTATGTTTGATTTTCACCTATTAACGTTGTGTCCGGAATTGTCAGTTAGTATTTTTGTAGCTGATGTGATGCGCAGCTTAGGAGCCAATCACATATTGGCGATTGATGTTGGATCAGTTGACGATCAAGATTTAACTAATTATGGAGATGACCTATCGGGATGGTGGGTGATGTGGAAACGGTGGAATCCCTTCACATCTGCTGTAAAAGTTCCTAGCTTACCTGATATACAGTCACGTTTAGCATATGTGAGCTGTGTTAGACAATTAGAAGTAGGCCATCACCAAACGATGCAGCTCATTCAAGTGTGTGTTTTAGGAAGTAAAAAATAGTGATTATTGTGAATATATTCGTCCGCCTATAGACCAGTATAAAACATTACAATTTGGTAGTTTTAACGAAATCAAAGATGTAGGTTACAATCACGGGAAAACGTATTTTGAAGGGCAGATGCGTGCAGGTCGACTGCCTCTTTTCCATTACCACATGCCCCCTGAAGGTGCTCGAGTTCACCAGGCGCATCCATCTTGCTATACATTTACAGATTTAGCACAGATGGTTTGTAAAGTACCCAGGTTAGTATTAACCAACAAATGTACGAAAATAATATCTTGTACTGGTGCATTTCAAAAATTCACCTAATCGTTAATGACAAACTATGTACATGGTTGGAGTAATTAATAAGTGAATCTCAGATACTTTTGGGTGATTATTAAATTTGTAGAACATTTGAAGATGAAACTTCCAGCTCATCGTCCGACTACGATGAAGACTATGACGGTCAGGGATATGCTTCAGAACCTTCTGCCGGTATTTTAGAGGTAGGTCATTTAGACAAATTTAGATCAATGTGATTACTGTTGTCATTATCAGCGTGACGAAAATAAACTCCGTCATAGTAGACGCACGTGTGGTTCTCTTTCGTTGTCGGATAACGAAATGGAATCGGATTTTGATACGGCCATGATGGATGGCCCTATCCCACCATTAACCAAAGCAGAATACTGTTATTCAGGTTCACTAGATAATACGTGAAGATTTTAAGGCTTTCTTAAGTTAAATACAGGTACTTACCTCCAAGGTAATAATGTCTATGCAATAGTATTATTGAGAATCTTTTGTAAAACGATTTTGATATTTAAGGTACCTTAGGTACTTTTTTACACTGCAAAAATATTTGGCTTTATTATGTAACCGTGAATTTGTAATAAATAATTGTTTGTTACGTATATATTTATTTGGTGTCTATAATAATAATAATTTTATTATCTTAACCAGTTAACAACCAATTATGAAAAAGAGTAGTAACTTTATGAAACCTTTAGAGTAGTGTGCTAAATGTTTCAGTAAACCATCAGTACATTTTTCACATCCTATCATCCTATACATGATTTTAACATTCAGCAATGTGTCAAATTCTATGAAATTTGAGAGCATTTCTTTCTCCTTTAAATTTTTAACAAAAAGTTAACCCAATAAATTAAATAAACTACCACTATTACTGATAAACAACTCTGTAATTCTATCACTAACTTTGTTTCTAGTGTGATTTTGTTCCCCGGTTCACTTGAAATCCTTGTATCATCCCTATTGGCGGGAGACAGAAATCGCAGCGGCGTCTGGTGGCGTAACGTACCAGTTGCATCATCGGGATCCAAACGGTGTTTACCGCGTGAGCATTGCGTTTTTAAGTTAAAAAAATCATAATGGTCAGTAAACGTTCCATAAGTAACAATAATTGTTGTGTAGCAGTATTCCCCGTTATTGGGGGTGTCCAGATAGATCTTGGAATGGTTTTGTCCTGGAATTTTCGACAAATGTCTGCAGTGCACTTCCTTGTCTGTGCCCACCATCGAGGGAGGCCCTCTTGCCACCGGGGCACTTTATTTGAGGTTCTCCTTTCTTTTGTGGGACAGCTTGCGTCATAGGCACCTTTGATGGCCATGCGAATGTTTGATTCCATGACCTCTGGTTGATAATATAATCAAGGAGAGACACCTCTTCCCTTGAGGTCGGTGTTTCCCTGGTTCCTGCCTCATCTTTTTTAGGATTTCGAGTACCAGGTGCTCCGGGAGTAGTTTGGTGGGTTTTTTCTTGGTTCGTATGAGTCCCAGGAGTATGAGGGAAATAAATGTCCACATGCGCGGCGCCCTCTACAACAATCATGGTTCTTAAGATATCTGAGACGCATGTAAGAGTATTCCTCTTCTTTCTGTATTTATATTCAAAACTACAAAACCAGATCTACATTTATTTTCAATTAACTATCACAATTATCAGTATATAAATTTGGATTAATTACACTTAAAACTGCCCCTATCAAATGTAGTGATCCCGTAACTAAAACATCATGCTCTTCTACAGCGCATTCCTTTAAAACATCAGTTACAGAAGAGAAAACTTTCACCGTTTGTTTCTTTGTTATATTTCCATTATCTGTTTCTTGATCCAACTCGTGCCATATCACACTGTGATGGTGGCAACGTGCAGTTTGTTGATCCTCCATTATATTAAAGTTTTTCTCATCTGCAATAATAAACAAAATAGATACACATCAAAATAATAAAAGAATATACCTTCTCTTGGTACTGGTATTGCTTTATTGGGCACAAAGAAAACTTTGTTAAATGAACACTTGTGAAGCTGTGACAATAAGTCTTTCGAGTTTCGATCACCAGTTGCATTAAAGATTAGCACCTTGGCTCGTGATGAAGATTGAGTTAGTTGGGAGAACCAGACTGAGCATGCATGAATACTCTCTGGCGTGTGAGCGCCATCTATATAAAACCTAGTGATTTTTGATTTAATCATTGAAATCAAGTTAGGCAAAAACGTACATGTTGTTGCTCTTTTGCAGCACTTGAAATCTGCCTGGCCATTTGAGAGTTTTTAAGCCCGTCTGTGTTAATTCTGAACGTACAAAATCATTAATGTCTTTGTAGCAATCGCCTAGAAAGACAATTTTCATTTACATTTTTACAAGTAGTTTTCACCTTTTGTTAAACGCACCCAGCGATCACATAGTGATAACGCAAGATTCGCGTTAAGTTTATAAATGTCGGAAGGCTGGTTATCATGGCGGACATCTACCTCTGGCTTCACTACAGTCAACGAACACTACAAAGTTCTTCATCAAAATATAAAAGGTGTTCCACACTTAGCATTCTACTGCCACACTTACATTTTTTTCTATGCTGCGGTCCTTCAAAATTTTAAGAACGGGAGCCTCCTGAGGGACTGTAAATGCAAGCGCTGAAGGTTTCATTATTCCCGACTTTTGCCAAGCAATTTGTTCTAAAGTATTTCCCAGTAATGACATATGGTCTAATCCAATTGATGTAATACCAACTAAAGGCACTTTTCTGTAAACAAAAATATCGAATTTTGAAATTAAGCATTATGTAAATGATTAGGGAGAGAGGGATCACTAAAAAAACATGTGGCATGGCAAAAGATATATCGATAAATTCGGTCTCTCATAAATACCTACAGAAAAGTGAATTGTAATCGTATGAAAAAATGCTTCCAGTTTGTACGCCCCACAAATCTTGATTTTCTAACAATTTATACATATGCGGAAATTGGTCTTTGTGATTGCCTAATAAAATACCCATTAACTGAATGCACTCAACATGCATCATTGTCATTAATATTTAATAAGTGTCCAGAAATGAAACTTTGTTTATTATTAAGCTAATAAACTAACTAATTATAATGAAATGATGAAACTTAGAACATGAGATCATAAGTTAATTAGTTTTATATTAATTGTTTATGACTAAATAACGCAAGTACTTACCGTAAAATGTTAGTGGAGTCGTATTCGCCACCAATTCCAACTTCTATAATAGCGACGTCCACCTTTTCTGTAAGAAACACTCTAAAAGCCAAAAGAGTTAGAAATTGAAAATATATCGGCATATCACCAGAATAAGTCTAAAATAATAACTATCGAACTAAATTCGTTAGAAAATAGCCATTTACTTTTTTTAAATGTAGAGTATTGTACAGATCCCAAAAATTGTTAACAAAATTAGTTTTTGAAATAGGCACTCCATTGATACGTATTCGCTCCCTCACCTCAATTAGATGCGGGGAAGAGTAAAAGCCTGTCTTATAACCGTGCTGACGTAGAATTGATTCAGTTAAAGCACATGTTGTGCCTTTTCCCTTTGTTCCTGTAACATGAATTACTGGGAGAGTATCGAGCACATCCAAGGTTACTCCAGACCTACAACCAGACATCATTGCCATTTGAAAAATAAGACTACATTACTTTATCAGATAGTTCTGTGTTTTCAGTATTGATTTAACATACTGCTCTTCAGGTGATAAATATCTATTTCCTTTGGCTTTCAAGTACTGGGCATTGGTTTGTAATCCATTAAGAGCCTTTATTGCGGCCTCAAAAAATAAAAGAACTAATATGTGTCATATACGTAAAGCTCTAGTACCTCATATTCTGAAGAAATATCTTTGACAACAGGATTGAGTGCATTTGCCGATATCATTTTTGAGTGTCGGTATATTTTCCCCAAACAATGTCTAAGAAACATTTAGGAATTGCACTGTGAACAATTTAGAAGAGCGAAGGTGTTGTGGTGTAGATCCATCACTAATATAAACGTCATAAATAATAAATTGGGTAACCCCTGTTGATTGTTATTGCGCACTTTAATCATTAAATGTACAAGGTTGACTTCACGCAACAATTTCATAAAAAATTTGATAGAAAAAACATATTATTTTATCAGATACGAAAGGTTATGTTATTTGTTTTGACAATCACGTGTTTACCATGACAGTTTAGTGGCCTTTTTTTTATGGAAAGGTTGTCAGCACTGTAATAAACGGCGCCGTAATGACGATTTATTTGTTTAAGCAGTGCAGTTTTGAAAACCCTGAACTCACTAAGGCTTGGGAAGCTTATTTTCTCTCTTTATGTTTTAAGAATCCTATTTAGTTTACCTGCAGTCTGTAATGCTTTGATGTCGTGCATTTAAAAAAATCTTGTATATTTCCGTTTTAGTCAACTTACAATGCACCCTGTATATAAAAATGTTCGTATTGATTTTTAGAATGTTAGGTTGGTAGCGTACATTCAAAAATTAAATACCACGGCGTTTGAATGGTGGGGATACGCTTATGTTTAAAGTAGCGTTGTTCGTTATTCTAATTGCAGCTTTAAAACAGTTTAGTTATAATTTAGTGGTGCTAATTTTAGAAATTTTACGAGTTTTATTCTACGAGGTGATTATATATGAACATTTATGGCAATTTGAGAAGTTTATAAACAGAATTTGGTCATTGGAAATTGTGAGGTTAATTTAAATGGGCCTGACATTTTGATGCATTATTAATTTATCATATCTCAACGTTTAATAACTGCAATTTGATATGATAAAGTATGGCATTTGAACTTCTCCACTAATTTAAAGGAAGTGGGCCGAATTTCTACCATATTTATTTCCTGTAAACAAGAGTTCATCGAATTGTGTCTCGACAATGTCACATATAAACACAAATGACCGTACCCTTCGTGAGACTAAGCCGTCTGTTGTGCGAAACTTATTTCTTACTAGTTCACTTAGAGAACCGGGTTCGGTAGTGAATTACGATCGATTTATTCCACTCCGAGCAAATAACAATTGGATCACGAACTATGCCACAATTCCAGACCCACCAAAAGGGGTGCAAGCGAATAAAAAAGCGAGAGAGTCCGGGGAAACTCCGAGGGAAAGTTCGGCATACAACTGTTTGCTAAAGAATGAACTATTAGGCGAAAATATCGAGAATATTAAAACACAGTGCGACGAACGACAGACATTTACACCTGTAAAGGCTAGAAATTTATTCAAGTATGGAATGGTAACACCAACAAAGGTAAAGTATATCACTATTATTTTTTATTGTTATATAATTTTTAGTATTTTGTTTTAAAAAAAAGTATTTCCTTTGAGTAACAACAATAGCGTACAAAATTGCACAGATGAATGAAACAAGTCAAAGCAATTGAGGAAATGTTGAATGAATTCGCACACATTTTTTTACTATAATTGAATTTACGCATATTTAACTCAGGAATGTAAAATACCAATAAAGTACGCGAAGGCTCTGTAATGTATGTGTGATTGGTTGAGCGAACGTAATCTGCAATAGGTTGTTAACACCAAAATTGAATTAGGCACGAGAATATTTAGAAATCTCCCACATGTGATCTTGATTCCTTTACGCATTATGCGAGGGGTCCCATGGGTGTACAGATTCATTATAATTATTCAGACCGAATTAAAATAAAAACTAGATTCGCAATAAATTTGACCGTTCTTTTTGGTTACGTTCAGCGAATACGACGATCCTAAAGGAAATTAGAAAAAAGGTTATTTGCTTATTGTAGACCAGAAACTTAATTATTATGAATGAATTCGGCAAAATTACACTGAATACATATTTTTAATAAGTCCGCTAATTTATACACATGCTTAACGAACTGTAACCGTGAGCAATCGCAAAATTTAAGGGGCACATCTTCGAAACAGAATTAATCTAATCTTTAGCATAAACATTAGAAGTAGGTATAGTGCCTGTGTCAAATACCAAGTCCTGTCTTATTAATATTGCGAATTTACTTACAATTTCGTTGCTATTCATTTTCTCATCTGCACTTACATTTCCTTTTGTTTTATTTTATTATAATTTTGCAGTAATTAGTTGTTAACTGTATGAAATTGGAACCCAAAATTTATATGGGAAAGTGAAGAACATTTTCTTTTATAAAAAATGGCATAATTTAATGTGAGCATTATTGTTTAAAAATAGTGCTTTTGCTTTTTGGTCACATTTTTCACTCTTGCCTCGACTCTTGCTGAAACTGTTGGAAATCAAGTGTGGTCTTTGGCTGGACTACAAAAGTTGTCAAGAAAGTTTTATACCAGTAGCAGATAAATCTGCATAAGTAGGTAGGTCTCGAGATAGGTATTGTAATAATTGTACTCTTAATTGTATAAAATTTGAGTGGTAAGTTATTCAATCAAGTTGTCATTAATGTGCCCATACTGCAGCAAACTTTTTGGGACCTTCCCTGAAAAATAATGAAACAAATGAAACTATTGCGCGACTCGAGAAACTTGCGTTTTGAATTCGAATTTTTATTAATTTTAGAATTTTTGGATAAAAACTCAAAAAAATGGAACCTCCGCGAAACTCGAAACAAGCATTTCTTCCTCAATTTTTCAAAATTTTCTCGTCTGAAATCTGAAATTTGAATTTTCATTCATGCATGCGGTTTTTGGGCTTTTCCAATAAAAACATCAAAACAAATGAAACTTGTGTTTGAATTAAGAACTAATTTGTACAAGCCAACATTTTCTAATGAAATCTTTTTTAATGAAAAATTGCTTTGTTTACTAAGTCGTCCAAAGTGTTAAAAACCGCCATTTTTAGTAATAATAACGATTATTAATACATACAGTGGAAAATGACAATTTTAGAAAATTTTTGTTTTTAGGTACATTAAATACAGGTAAGTATCAAAGGGCACGTGAGAAAAATACGCTTTAGCCATTCGGGCGAGTGCGCCATTTATTTTATGATTTATTATTTAGTAGGTGCTTAATTCAATTTTCTTTAAGAAATCATTATAAAATGACGTCAAAATCACTTATAGCTTATAACGGGCGATTAAAAATGAGTTGCTGTCGAGTCGCCTTTGGAAGTTCAAGTTAAGTACGATTTCCCATGTAAACAAAAACTCCAAAGGTGACTCGACAGCAACTCATTTTTGATCGCATAGTATTTGACAGATCATAATGGCCCATCAGAACCATGTACACACTCTTGAGTTGCTCACATCACATTACTCTGTCCATTACGGAGGTTCCATTTTTAGTGAGTCAGCGAGTGATCATTTATGCCTTTCTTAAATGTTTTCTTTCCAATGTTCCAATTTCCAATGCTTTTTCAGAATAACGGTCATACCAGCTGGAAGGGGAGAAATAGTGGCATTAAGAGAATGTCATTTGTTTTATTTGGTGAGATACGAAAAATTTCTCAATTGTGATTTATTTCAACGTTATTTATGGTCCATAAAAAAAGTACACATTGTAGCAATGTTGCACGACGTCTTTCAGATGTCAACCAGGGAGATCTCAAATAGAGGGAGGCGAGACGTATTTAATAGGTTTTTCGAAAAATCCACGGCTAGATAATAGCGTAAATTTTTGAGCTAATCACACATATGTTTTAGTGATAGAACGATACCACTTTTTTTGCCGATACGATATATCGGCCGATACCGATATTTACGTGCCGATATATCGTATCGTATCGGCAAACAATAGATGGCGTTACTATTTAGATTTGCAGTAGCTGAAGTGAATCCAGAATCTTTGGAAGATGAAGATGATAATATTCCCTTAAGCCATTTACAAAATAAACAAAATACGTTTTGGGGAACTTTTGAGATCATTACCTCTACTTCAGCTTCCGAAACCAGTACTACAAAAAAGCAAGGTTGGGAAAATGAAATAATATTATATTTTAAATTATATATTATATATTTCTAAAAGAAATAGACTAAATGCAGATCGATGCAGATAGGGCTGAAATGTAAGTGTTTTTGCATCATAATATCAAAAAGTTAAATTTTATGTATTAAGTATATACTGTATTTAGAACCTGCTATATTAGGTATATTTTTTGTTGTTTTTTTTTTTAACTTTTTTAGTAAAAATGTTAACTTTAGAATAAAACATTTTATTTTCTTTAATAAAGTATTTCATTTATGCACTGAAGAGTTAAAACAGCTAAAAAAATTGTTTGCCGATATATCGGCGCAATTACCTTGCCGATACGATACGATACCGATAATCGGCAACAATTGCCGATATACCGATATCAATATCGGTATCGTTCTACCACTAATATGTTTAACATCATCATTCCCTTACTAATTGAACAGTTGGAAAGGTACAAAAATGACCCATAAAGTTTTCTTAATTTTATTTCAATTGGAACACGTTTATTAATTTTGGGATTGGAGTTCACGAATACTTTGTAAGTGCATATATAACGCACAGGGTCCACCATTATAACAAAACTTAAAACATCCAGCCAAATGGATTTTATTTTTTTGTCAAGTTTATTTATTAATTAACCGACGTGCTTCTTTTGGGAGCCACCCTCAAAAAAGTGTTCAAATTTGCATTTCTTCTTAATTTTTTTGCTTACGAACTATAAGAGTGACATGGTACCACGTTTTTTGAATAGGTTCCGGAGTGTGATCTTTCCGATTTTGCAAAATTTTGTTCACAATTCCTACCATGAACGGGCGGGCCCCTAAATGGGGATTCGAAAAAATTCTAATTTTGACAAAATTTAGTATCTGGAGATTTTTGAACATGAAAATCACAACTCTGAAATTATTTTGAAAATTCGAAAAATAAAACTGCAGTGCAAAAACAAAAATGGAGAGAACGAAATTTGTGGTGTACATACTTGATGAGCTAAGGAACAGTTAGGAAGGAGCTCAGCAATCACCCCCCTGGCTACGGCCCTGAATTACGCCATATTATGCTAGAAATAATTTACGAAATCGGAAAGGGTTCCAAAACTTATGTAATTGAATTAATTACATACTTTTGTGATTGTTGAGAAGAAATTAAGGAAGAAAATTTCCTTGGAAAAAGTTTCTGATGTTCAGGATGTTATTATTTGCACGCCTCTTAGCAGACCAAATAATACAGAAAATTTGAGAATTAATGAGGGGTTGCCCAGAACCGCCGCTTCGTACAAAAAAATTTCAAATATTTCTCGATGCCAAGAGGGAAATTTTCGTGGTAAGGGGTTCTGATTGTTGGCTTTTTTAATTAAAATCTTATGGAAAGCCGCCCAGAACTCTAATTAGGAGAATCTGAGGTGGGAATGAAGGCGAGTTTTCATTTGAAATTCATATGAAAGTCAGAGGGAACCAAATGCGTAGGTAACTGTGAGAAACGTTTCAGATTGTACAATTATTAAATTTTATGTGTAATGCGTAACTGTACTCTAAATTTGGTGTGAAAATATGTCTTTATGCAACTTTTTAGTGGAAAATGTACCTGAAAATTGTATAACCGTTACGTCATTGTTTCAAGTACGTGTACTACACATATCGCGAAATTAATTGATATGTAAATAGCTGATCGGCTATATCTGCCTTATTTCTGATAAAAAATACCTAAACATTGCTTCACTTGCAAATAGTGTAACGATTGCAGTTTTACCAATATTTACCTTACGATAGGAGGAAACCTAATTTAAATAATGTCCTGATGCTAATTGCCTATAATAAGTTAGAAAATGTGCTTTAATGAGTGATAATTAGAGAAAATAGTGGGTATGGGTGCTTTCTAAAAGGTATATTTCCCCCAACAAAAATGTACAGTTATTATTAGCTTTTGTTATCAATTCTAGACACTTGTACTTGTGTAATCATCACGATCGTTCCTAATAGCGCAAACGAGGTTGCGTAATTACAAAGCTCGTGCAAAGCAAAAATGGTATAATTGAAACATTTTTCTATTTGCAATTCACCGGATATCACCCCGTTGTACTGTTTCCATAATTTACACAATATGCATTAATTATGCTTAATCGGTGTATTGTACGTGAGCAATGAACTCTAAAATTTGTATTAACTTCCTTTCAATTACTCACACGTTCACACACGCTTAGAAAATATTTCAAGTGTCATTAAAGGCTTAATGGGTATGATCTAATTTCTCAAATGGATATAATTGTAGACTAATCGGAAGTTTATTAGTAGAAATGATTTATCAATCAACACATACTTTACTTCTACTGGAATTTGAACTGGACGCATACCTCTGATGCATCTATATCGT